TGGATCCAATAAACATCCTACAAGGGAAACAAAATGCCAAATCTTCTTCTGGACTATACTCTAACCAAGTAAATTGCTGATACCATGACTTTTGGAAACTACGTAGTGTTCCACTAAACAAGGTTCTTGGGTAAATGTCTAGTATAGGTTGAAATGGGCCTTTTAAAATTCTTTGTTTGAATTCTATCTGATTTTTAGGAACTTCAACTTTAGGATCCAAGGGATGAATGTCAGAGGAAACACTTTTATTTTCATCTATTGAAATAGATCAAGTTTATATTTTAGAATATATTATTTTAAGTTATAACTAACAAAAAAAATGTAAATTAATTAAGTTAAATAAAGAATTACATAAAACAATTTAAATGCAAGCTTTGATTTGTATAAAATATAAAATATGCATTATTAACATTTTCATGTTATATTTTTACAAAATTAGAAAAATAGTAAAACATAATAAAAAAAAGAAAAGATTTCCATAAAGCAATCAAGCAAAAGCATACAATAACTAAACTACATCACAAATTAATTTAAAATGCTACCTCTTTACCTACTTGCTAATATGTAGTGGAAGTAGGTACCTATATTTTACTAGTAAAAATGTTATACCGCAGTGTTGTTAGACAAATTATATTTACATATTACTTAGGTATATTAGAAAAAAATAAAAGTTTATTACCTTTTTAGATTGAAATTGTATACATTACACGTTTACACAAACTTTATATTAGAAACCATGAACATAATTATTTATAACATAAAACACAAACAGCCAACACAAAACACTGATTAGAAACAGAATTTTTAAGTATGAAATAAATACATACCTAATGACTTGTAAATAATTATTTCTGATGTACTTCCCTCTTGCATTGAGTCATCTGGGTCATTTATATTTGTACAAGAAGTAGTTTCATTATCATAATGACAAATTGGTTTGTCTGGAATACAAGTATTTATTAAAATAGATCTATAGGCTATCATTTGTACTTTTACATTGGCATGTATATCAATCTAAAGTGAATAACAATTGTTCCGTAAGCAAACAACAAATTTAACACTTAATTATTGATAAAAATACAAGACTGTTATATAATTAATGATTAATGAATGGTTGTATCTTGTATACCTAATTGAATGAGGAAATCGCACTTAAATAAAATAAATAACAGTTGATTGTAAACTAAAATCTTAATATCATATATCAAAGAAATAAATGGTAAATCTATACCAAAGCAAATAGTCAAATAAAACTTTGAGTTTCTACTTACTTTCTTCACATTTTTTAGTAATAGCTTTTGGTTTGAAAAATTCAAACAATGTATTCTGCTTTTAGTAGAAACGAATACAAATACAATTTTAATACAAAAAAAGTAAAATAGACTCGTCAAGCATAAATAAGCAAACATAAAAGTATAAAACTAAAATTAAGTATACAAATTTGTCCAATCAATGTTCAGTCGATACTCGATGGCATAGACAAAAAATCAAAACTCAATAGTCACCAAACGCCAATAATCAATATTAATATTTTCATTTGCGCTTATCGGCTATCGACATAATCTGTATTTTCTGTTTTATAATTGTAACCACGGATATTGATAACAACATTGGAACAAATATTTTTTGGAACAAATGTTTTGTGGAACAAAAGGTAGCGACCCATTATAAAGAACTCTTTAAAATCATGGTTTATAACATATAACTTGTCAGTCGGTATCATTGGTAACTATAATTCTGAACTGATAATTTTTCCCATATCACAGATTCGTGGTAAATTGTTATCGTATTTATAATTTATATCAGTCACAAACTCTCGAACACGATTACGCAAGTGGTAAGTAATATTTATTTGCAAAAAAGTTCGGCCCGCAGGGGGGGCAGTTGCCCACCCTGCCCCCCCCCCGTGCGCACGCCTATGGTTGGCACACAATATTATTTCACTATATTGGTGTTTAAAATATAAATATTACTTTTTTTTATAGACCTTGTATTATAATTAGATAAGGATATGAGGTACTTTAAACTTACCAACTAAATAAAAATACTAGACTAACTGATAAAAATATATTCAATTCACATCAAAATAAATAAATAATATATTCTATATTTCTATATTTTATTTATTAAATTTTTAATCTTATTTAGACTACTTTCTTAATAGTTATTACTTACCTATTACGAATGTACTTATTAGATATGAGCTGATGGGCAATACTTTTATTCTAATTCCGAAGTACCAGAATCAAGATTTATTATAAAATTTATAACCAAAGAATAAATTTTTTATTAATAATAATTAAAATTCTCTTGTTTGATTTTTTTTTTTTAATATTAAATACCTGATTCATATTAAATAATAATTAAATTATAAAAGAAAGATTTATCAATTATAAAAAAAAAAAATTATCTTATAGGTAGGTAATAAGATAAACTAAGAATTTTAAAATGCAGTATAATATTATATTTATAAATGCATTATTTAAATATATATTTACTATTTCAAAAAAATGAATTGAAATACAAAAGTTTTGTGTGTCGTTATAAAATTGTTAGTTTCACTTTTCTCTAATTATTCTCTAATTATATTTAATAAAGTAAGTCTTGATTATACAATCTATATTTTATAGATATTATAACAGAATATGACATTCTACCTCCAGCTTCTTTCGTAAAAGAGGAATTATTAATACAAACATCTTACATGCCAGACGATTCAAAACATAAACAAGCAGATTTGATACCTTTCAATGATAATATACCACAAATGGACAGTTGTTCTTCTTCTCAAACCCACAAACAAATTGAACTTGCCCAAAATGTTTCATACTCTACATTAATTGATAGATGCCATGATTATCCATCAGATCCATATTTATTTATTGATACTGTGTTAACACCTCAAATAATCAGAACTCTTGTTGAAATAGGGCCTTGTCAACCTGGTTTTAATAGTAATAATTATGTTTTTGAAGAAAATGAGTGTGGCAAAAAATTTTTTCCCAACTGGTATAACAAAAATGTTAAATCAGGAATGAGCTGTAAAAGAAATTGGTTAGTATTTTCCCCAAAAGCTAACAAAATGTTTTGTTTTCCTTGCTTTTTGTTTCCATCTGTATCTCAGCATAGTTATCAATGGTCTAATCCTAATAAAGGTGTTTCTAATTTCCGCAAAGGAAATGAAAAAATTATTAAACATGAAAAATCCAAGGACCACAGAGATGCAGAAAATGAATATTTAATTTTAAAAAGCAGAATTTCAAAAGACTTTACAATCCAACAAAATTTAATGAAAGTTCAAGAGTCTCAAATAGAATTTAATCGAAGTGTGTTAAAATGATTAATTGATCTATCTTTATTCCTTTCAAAAAATGGTCTTCCATTTCGAGGACAGAGAGAGGACATAAATCAGGATACACAAAGTAAAGGACTTTTTACTGAAATAGTTAAACTTGTGTCAAAATATGATGCTGTTCTAGCTAAACATTTGGCCGAGTCAAACCGAAATGAATATACTTGAGTCCGAAAATTTAAAACGATATACTTAAATGTAGGGCAGATGAAACATTGCATACAATATTAAATGAAGTAAAACAAGCAAAATATTTTACAATTATTGTAGATTCGACAATAGATATTGAAAGAATTGATCAATTTTCTTTTAGCTTGAGGTTTGTAGATCAACAAGGAGATATCAAAGAACATTTTCTGTGTTTTGAAGAACTACATAATGCAACTGCAAATGATTACTTCGTCATTATAAAAAAGTTAATGGAAGAATATAAACTAGATATTTCTTTATGCCGTGGTCAAGCCTATGATGGTGCCAATACCATGTTTGGACGATTTTCTGGCCTGCAATCTAAAATAAAAGATGTATCACCATTAGCACTATATATTCATTGTTGTGCACATAATGTAAATTTGGTGCTTATAGATTCCATTAAATCATCTATAAATTCAGTTTCATTTTTCGGTATTCTTGAGGCATTGTATACATTTATAACTAATAGTTTACCAAGACTAAAAATATTTGAAGAAGAACAAAAGAAAATTGATGGTCTAGTACTAACACTAAAACAACTCTCAAGAGACAAGATGGGCAAGTCACAAACGTGCGGTAGACTCAGTATACATAAACTTGCCGGCAATTGTTACCTCATTAAAGCGAATCTCAGATGGAGAACTTCTCAGTATAAAACTAAAAACCATTTCAGAAGCACAAGGATTACTTTTTCAAATAATGAATTTTAAATTCAATTTTTTATTAGTTTTGTGGAAGAATATACTTGGAAAAGTTAATATTTTATTAAATTATTTACAAAATTCTAAAATTGATTTAATAACTGCACATGATATGGTTTCAACATGTTTTCTAGATATTTCATCTTTACGAAATGAAGAACATTTTTTAAAAATAAAATGTAATGCTACTGAATTGTGGGGACAGTTTGGAGGATACAATAACTTTAAGCAAGGACGTATAAGAACTAAAAATAAAATACATGGTGAAAATAATTTAGAAAATATTATTGAGTCTGCTGATGAAAATATTAAATGCAATACATATTTTGTTATTTTAGATTCATTTACAAATACATTAAAACATCGTTTTGAAGATTTCTCTAACATAGTTAACAAATTTGAAGTACTTAATCCAAAAAAAAATGTCAAAAGAAAACATAGATGAAAATATTATTTCTATTCACAATTTATCAAAATTTTATAATGTTGACGTAGATGAAGTAGATATAGAAGTGGAATACCGTTCATTTTGTTTGGTTTACCATCAAGTATATGATGAAGTTGAACCATTAAAACTTAATGAAGTATTGAACTTCATGATATCCCGAGACATGGTTTCTTCTCGTCCAAATTTATATACTTTGTATAAAATATTTTATACTCTTCCAGTCAGCAGTGCAACTGCTGAAAGAAGTTTTAGCTCAACTATGACAGAAGACCGGCTATCAAATTAATACTAAGCATAGAAAGCAACATAGCTCAAACAATAAATTTCAATAAAGTAATTAGTACATTTGCATCAATGAAAAAACGTAGAAAATTATTGTAATATTATACTTATTTTTTATATGTAATAATAAAAACATAATTTTGTATATGAAAGCAGTTATGCGGTTATTGATCATTAAGATAAAATAAATATACTGCAGCAACTATATGTATACAAATATAATAATAAATATGTATAATCTCAAAATCTAAAGTAGGTACTGGTAAGTTTGTTAAATGTATTTCAATTTTAATGTAACAAATAAAAAAAAAACATTAAATTTGAATTAATTAATAATATCAAAGTTTGTAAGTAATTTTTAAATTGTATTAAAAAAATAGTTATGACCTGTGCTTTATCTCTTCTAGTTATAATAAATGTAATCTAAATAATTTAAATCGCGAGCGTAGCGATCGATTTTGTATTGTACAGTTGATTGAACCTTCTACACAGTGGCCTCTTGTAAGTGAGGCAGACCCACAGTACTAAAATCCTGGGTTCACCACTGGTGGTTCTACAATAATCTAGTTGTTGAAGCTGGATGATGAGCAATATTCAAAAAACTAAAAAAGTTAATAATATAATTTAAACGTTGTTGCGTAGAGTCATATGCACGACGGCGTTATATAACGTAACGCACGTAGGTATATCGCAGCCGTGACTCTACGCAGCGGCCAACCAGTCGTCG